AGGAGTGAATTTTGTGCAGTGCTGCTGGTGCGTTTCTGGCATCTGCTTGTATTAACGCTCTCATCAGAAAAAAGCCAACCCTTTTACATGGGCCAGCAATGAGTGTCCTGTTCCTCAGTGATCTCCTCCAAGCACAAAGTGATTGCGCTGCAATTAATTACTGTAGGATTTTTGTAGAACACCTGGGCCTGTATGTGGGAAAGGTTTTCCAGGTGTTGCAGAAGCTCGAATGGTTGAGCTGACATCCTGGTGGCTGCAGGTGAAGTTCGCTGGAGGGTGAAGGGGGAAAACCTGCACGGCTCTGAACGCTCCTGTAGCAGCGAAGCTGCGTTTGCACGGCAGCGGGTGCTGCTTCAGCTCCAGCAGTTACAAACCAGCTGCTGTCAGGCGGGTAAAATGGGGGTTGTCAGCTTTGGTGCGAGGGACATGAGCACACTGATCTTTCAACCCATCCTAAGGAGAGAGTGACTGTGTGTTCCTACTGCCTGATGGCTTGGCTTCATCTGCTCACTGCTTCCCCTTACAACCCAGGTTTAGATGACACCAGGACATACTGGTTCCATACTGGTTTATGCCTGGTTGTTTAGTGTAGCTTAAACTCACAGATTGGTGCAACACAAGCCCATCTGAAACATGGGTGAGTCTGTGGCTTATATTTGACCCGGTGATCTGTACTGCTGCAAAGTCAGACATCAGACACTGAAATTAATCTCGAAAAAGTGTCAGACTTGGGTGGTCCTGCACAAGCCTCACTTGTGTCTCCGCTGCCCAGCAGTATGCTGTTGATGAGAGGATGGTATTTTGGTTTTTGAGGCCCCTTGCCTTAGCCAGAGCAGATGATGCACTGGCTCCGGGGCTGAGCCGTGCTTGGCACAGAGGATGCTGTCTGTAGGGCTCTGGTTGTGTTTGCTGTGAAGTTGTGGGATGTGGAGCTGCAGGAGGGAGGAAAATAATCTTTTTTTGGCAGCCCTGGGTGTCTCTTTTGCCTATGCTCAGTGATGTCTCTGGCTGCAGGACAGTCACCTCCTGTTCTGCATTCTACATAGGTCTAATAGTGATTTGGAGAAGTCACTATTACTCACTGTGGTCAGTAAGTCTTGCAATTGGACAAATGTGGTGCTCAGCTCCATGGTGCAATGAACTCTGAAGAAAAATTTGAAAGGGTTGCAAACTCTCTGAGATACCTTAAGGTACTCCTTAATTAGAGAATTGGGATGGTGGGTCTGTCTAAGTAGTTATTCTAAGGATTTTGCTTCTGAGAAGCCGATGCAGGTCCCAGGCTCTGGAGTAGGTTGCTCCTATTCTTTTTTTTTTTTTTTTTTCCCTACTGATAGTGACCCATAGCATGAACTGCTTTTTTTGGTCTCTGTTGTGGCTTGCTGGGCTCTCGGCACGTGCCTGTGTGTGGTGTGGACTAAGAGGGAATTCCCAGCAACTTAAATCTTATCGCAGGCTTTCTCTGTGCCCAGCTGTGAGCTATCACAAGCCCATGCATCCCCAGGACAAACTCATTTTCATGGTCTCTCCCCACAGAAAATCCATCCTGGTGTGTGCCAGGAGATCTTGCTGGGATGTGGCTTTGCTGGGGCTGCATCTGTGCTGCCGGATGCTTCATAGTGGGAGTCACCTGCCAAAATCACGGTGATGTTGTTTAAGCTGTGTGGAGGCATCTGCAACCTTCTCGTGGTGGATGGACGAGAATAAGTAGCAAAAGGGCTTGAAGTCCTCTTGTGGCTGACACCAGATGATAGTCACCCAGAAATACCATTTCTCCTGTAGATTTACTGGCAGCTCAGAGGAAGGTGTCCCCACTGCTGATGTCTCAGTTTGGACAGATGAATGCTGCTGTTCGGGACAAACAGAGCCTCTTTCTTCACTGCTGTTGTAAAGGGGGGAAAAATATGCCATGGAGGCAAAGGGGCTGGCTCCAGACTGCATCAGGCAGTTTGTCCCTGAGCGTGCTTGCAGATGCCCTGGCTTGAAGCAGGGAGTGATGGCAGTGTAGTGAGGGATGGGGCTGCCTGCATGAGGCTGCCCACCAAAATCAGGGCTGGTGAGTCCCAGAGATGGGAACTGCCAGCTGTCATGTTTGGAAAGGGTTGGGGGACGCAGAGAAGTTGTAGCCCGTGTCGTGTTATCCCTCATGAGGGGTCTGAGACAGGTGGGCATGAGGGCAAAAGGGGCCAATGGGCTCCCATGCCACCTGGGCTGGCAGGGGGATGCCGCTGGATGTTTCTGCCCTCCAAGGAAACTCCTGCACCAGGTCGAGCCCTCCTCCTGGCGCCGGGGGAAAAAACAAGCTCTGGAGAGAAACAGTTTGTGTCCTTTTAAGGCAATCCAAAGGCTGGGACTGGAGCAACCAGGCTGGAAGGGAGGGATTTGGCACAGGCTATGCAGGGATGGGAAACCCAGCCTGTGGGGAGTTCGGAAAAGAGACTTCCTGGCTGCTGTCATCACACCCCAAACACAGCTCCTTGCGTCCCTGGAGTCAGCACAGCCTCTCCAGCCCCTGCTCCCGGCACCCTCCACAGCTCTGTCTGCCCGTGCTGAGACCCTCCGTGCATCTAGGAGCCAGCAGCTGCAGCCAGGCTAGAGCAGGGCCAGTGCCTCTGCACAGCCCTGACAGCGTGTTAGCCCTGATCGTGCCCTGCCTGCCCTGCCTGCTGTTGTAACCTGCTTGAGATCAGTTTCCCTTTTCTATTGCCTGACAAAATACTCTTACACAGGGAAGAGCTCGACTTTCCAATCTACTGGGAGGTACAGAGATGTCGCTGCCTGTGAGTGGAGGGTTTGCAGTGCTTCATCCTCCCTCATCCCTCCGTGTGACGTTTATACAGCCCCAGTCCTGTTGTGTTTCACATCCATCTCCCCAGCTGCCGGCCAGGCAGGGCAGTGCCGCTGACTCAGCTGTTGGGTGAGGGATTGGAGACCCAGACATGGGGCTTCAGCTGCCTGAGGTGACCCAGGGATTCGAAGCTGCTGCAAGGAGTGTGCTCAAAGGCTGTGCCCCTGGTGTGCCTCGGCAGAACCAGATCCCCTTCCTCATAGCCATGCAGCCGAGCTCAGGGAGGTGATGAGATCCTGTGCTGCTGCCGGGTGGCACACAGTGTAGCGTGGAAATGGTGTTTGGTTTTGGAGAACTTGTCCTGCTGCTTTAGCTGTTCAGGGTTTGGGAAGCGCACAGCTGTGCCTGCGGTGGGGAGGGTGACTGCTGCTGCTTGTCCCCATGTGGGAGCAGGATGGAAAATTACAGAAGTGTTGACAGAGAGAGGCCTCTGGAGACCTCCCAGGCTGCAGCTTGTGCCCATTGACCTTTCTTACATCATTGAGCACCGCCAAAAAGTGTTTTGTTGTCTTCAAATGGCAACCCTCGGTTGCTGTTGAATCCTCCGTAGCCTCCTCTTGGCCACACTTAACCAGCCTGCCTCTCTCGGGGTCTCCTTGTAGGACTTTGTTGCTTGAGTGTCTTGAATTTTATGTTGGCCTGGTCTTCAAAAGTGTCAAGGTCACTCTGGGTTGGAGTTCTGGTACTTGTGTTAGCTATGCACAGTATTTTGGGGTTGTCTTCAAATTTGCAGATCAAGGGGCCTCTTCACAGAATCACAGAACGTCAGGGGTTGGAAGGGACCTCAAAAGATTGTCTAGTCCAGCCCCCTGCCAGAGCAGGACCACCTAGAGCAGGTCACACAGGAACGCGTC